TTTTCGGTCGATATCCTTCACCCTTTCGCTTCAAAAAAGCCACAAGCTTGTGATATCTGCTTGATGTCATGATCATTTATGTTCATCATCGACTTTAACAAAGAGTAATTTGACCAAAGCGTTGACGATTTCCATATTTTGGACTTTTCTTCAAACTATGCAAGAAGCACTTTTTCACTGGCCTCCTTTCCACTGACATTTTTCTCATCACACCATTTCAAGAAACGTTCGTATGAAAACTCGTACTGTCGCTTTGAATTACTAGGCAATAATTCAAAAACAGCTTTATTCCCATCTTTTGTTCGAAGGGATTGAACACTCCGCCTTCGGCGTGTGTCCCAAACTTCCCTTCTCACAAAATAAAATGTCACTTTTAGCACTTATATCATAAATAACTATTCTGCAGTACTCGTTCAATGAATGGGTACAAAAAATTTCCATTTCTTATAAAACATATTTGTGTCTCATGTTTTTTGTTCAGCTGTTTGATAACATGATTAGTGTGTCCACACTCTTGTCCAGCCCGATTTGTTGAGCATTGATATTGCTAGTGGTGGAATGATCCTAGATTTATAAATAACATCTTCCTTGGAAGTGTCTCTAGAAAAGTGGAAGGTCGTTCAGGCGTTAAAGATGTGTTGATTCTATAATTTCAATGGTTCAAAAATACACATAAATGAACAAACGTATCAGTTGAATATCCGAAACGGAATCGTATATAAAAACACTGAACATTTCAGGGATTTCAGGGAATAATAACATCGGGGATTTTTGTTTCGATTTGGCTTCTGGGTCACAACCTTATCCTCATTTAGTTGAAAAACAACCGCAACGGAAGGTGAAATAACCCAAGTGTGCTGTGTACTTGTATGCATAGCGTCAGGAAAAACCCTTGTTGATCGAATACCTATAATACAAGTACGACGAAACATTTCCCTATGGGGCCCCTATGAAAATGTCACGTTAACCTCTGATAGGAAAAACCCTTGGAGGAAAAAAACAGCGCAAAGTTACAAAAACTTGCCATTATCATCATCTTGGTTTATGATGGTTAGCTAATATATATATTATTATGATAAGCGTATATCAGCCATAATGAGGTATGGTATAATAACACTATAGGTAGACCTCTATACCTGATCAATTATACCGGGTGTAACAGGATCATGATACACCAAACCATTTTGATGAACTTGATGTGGTGATAAATCTAGAAATTTGGCATTTTTGACAGGATTCTTTTTTTTTTAATTACACCTGTCGATATGAGTACATATCAGACTCGATCAGAATAATAATTGCACACTCAGATCAAAAATAAAAAATGAAAGGAAAAGCAATATTTAAGTTTGAAATGTCACTTAGGTGGTATTATTAGATTTAGAAAATCATGCCAAATTCGAAAATGCAATGATGTACATCAGGGTGTTCCATTTGAAAATCAAAAGGTATAATACTACTTCTGGTGAAACCGGAAGTGGAGAATAAAACATGTTTATGTCAAAACATGACGTTTATCAAGTTGATGGGTCATTCTGAATTTCAATCACTTATCTCTAAAACTGAAGGATAAAAAGGGAGTGTACCATGATCCTAGCTGTTACACCCGGTATAGAAACTGTGAAAATTCTATGAAGTTTCATAATTTTTCATACTGTACAACGAACTTTTCTAAACAAAACGAGAGATGGATATACAAAAATCTGTCTCAAAATACCTGATATATGAAAGGATGAAGATATTAGGTATATGATTTCCCATTTTGATCCATACTTGAATCCATATTTTCCGAGTATCTTCTTTCGTAATATTTCAAAATCATGTGCCACCGTATCTCTCCATCGTTGTCACCGTATAACAAACTTTGCTTACCTATATTGTTAATCGTGATTTTATATGTACTCATTCATTAGGACGTGGGTTAGTTTTAGTTCTTACGATATCGCCGCTGCCTCAAAATAGTATCATGCAATAATTGTTTAAAATGACCCATTTATTATCTGTTTCTCATAACATACAGGGAGGAGCATTAGTACGTCAGAGTGCGATTGCTCGGGTCCTGATAGTCGAAAAAGCACTGAACTCTAGATAGTAAACACCAAAATACGAAGATTTGGCATCAGCATGCGTTATGAAAATGTGAGGGGGAAATTTCATTTTGAGATGTCTCAATAGCTTTGGGCGAACGTTTATTCCGAAATTTTGTTTATCTACTGTTGGTGTTGTTAGTGATTGTCATCAGTGATTGATTACTGTCTTCTTCTTAGAGTTACTCCGCTAACTATATAATTTGAAATAATGAAAATTTTATAAGTAAAACACAAATCCATCCATTCAATAACGAATAACGCAACAATCTTTTGAACTAAAAAATTTAAAACAGAGTTCATTTTTCATGTGAGATTGAATACGCTTTCAGACTTTTGATTTATTTCAACTATTTTCTAATGGGCAAAGAAGATATGTGGTAGTTAACTGAAGTTACAAATTCGTATTTCTCTCGTCAGAAAACCTAGAACTACAAAATTTTATTTTATTTGCTGAGATATTTTGAAATAAAGTCTTCCACTTGAACACCCTATATCACCTAAACTAGCAACATTTGTTGAGGCTATAAATCTTCATATTTTGGTGTTTACTATCTGTAGTTCAGAAAATGCCCATTTTTAATGTATCACCTTGTATATATGCTCGATTTTTCAAACTATCCAATATGCATATAAAAGGAATTTATATTAGTACCTGTGATCGGTATGATGATCAGACAGTACCTACCCCACCATACCATACAAAAAGTTTCAGAACCTCAAAGAAACCCAGATGTGAGAAGTATGTCACATTTCATGATATAATTAGAAAAAACCGTTTCCAACAGAAAAACAGTTGAACATCTCAAAAAATGATTATGGAAACATTTATAAATTTTTAAATGAGCCACCCTGTATTTTATTACATTTTCAGATTCTCCCTGATTCACCATCTACTGACATTTAATTGGAATATTTTTTCTTTTTCTCCTGATATTTTATGACCATCAACTAGTGTGAAATGCTTTCGAAAGATGAGAAAAGTTTGAAGAATCATAAATGGAATTCAGGTTTTCCAAAAATCTGCTGTTTCCATATGGCAACACTAGGCGCTTGTGACACATGTTATGAAATATTAACACAAATACCTCCATTGCATTTTGAACACAGTCATTGTCAAAATCCAGCTATTCTGCATGGCTACGTCTAATATCCAAGTGATAAGGGGACCGTACGAATAATTCCTATGCGGTAATAACAAATATTTTGATCCATTTGATCAGTTTCGACCATTTACAAATATAGTACCACTTGATTACTTTCAAAAACAACGCATACCACCTGGTTTCTGCTGACAAGTGCTGTCAGTAGATAGTTGATCAAAAGTTGAGATAGGGACATGTGAGCCGTTTTGACCAATAATGAATAGTTTCGACAAAAAAAATTCCTAAAGTTGAAAAATGTCAATTTTTCACACCCTATATCTCTGTAATCATTTCCGCTAGACCCCAAGTGTGATACATCGATGAAATCAGCTCTCCAGAGAGAATCTGAAAATGCGATAAAATACAGGGTGTTCCATTTAAAATAACAAAGTTGTTGCTACTTTTCGGTAGAAGCGGCAACGCCGCAGAGCTGAAAATATTTTAGATCGATAGACCAAGAGCAACTACGTGAGTAACCAAAATGTCAGAATGATCCTATGTCCCGTTCTCCGTAAACGTCTAACGTACCATGGACCGTGAGTTACCCTGTATATATGTGATATATATCCGGGAAAAAAGTACTCACTTTTTTCCCAAGGGAAAAGAGTAATTTATGAAAAGTGACATTTTATATAATCTGCCAACAGAGATGAAATGCCAAACTTTTTTCCCGTCACAGAAAAAAATAATAAAAGTGAGTTGATGAATACAAAACATAGAATAAAATGGTTTGCTATAATATTTTTAATTAAATTCCGATATTGTATCATCGGACCTTCATGCGAAGTTTCAATTTGACTGCCGTGTCTCTAGACATAAAAAATTCATTATGATGTTATTCGAAGAAAAACGATCATTTGAATATTTGGTGAAGGAACATTTTAGATTTAAATGGCGGAATATCATTCACCATTTTATTCAGAAAAAAAATCGCTCATCTTGAAGATCCTGATCAGGGTTATGGAACAGAACTATTACTATTAAATTATGCTATTGTTATCGAATCTTGATGATTGTAGGAAGTTTCAATCCAATATTCCACGTTCTGAAAGGGGTCAAAATCACATTCATAGATTCCGCGTTACAATAAACATAAAGAACGTGTTAAAAAATGGCCAGGAGGACCCACATGGGAATCAGAGTATGAGTACGGTCGAAGAACAGAAAACGGCTACGACATCGTATTTTGATCTGTCTTCGAGTGTGGATATTGGTAGGTATATGAGAACTGAGATAATACAATTAAAAAGTTCATAGGGAAAGTTAAAACAATCCAATTAGTCATTATATGTTTAAAGGTTAAAATACCCAGATCGTCATTTTGAATCCCCTCAAAAACAAATTGGAGAAACTATTTGACAATGGGAATTTCCTGATTTCCCATTTCGCCAGCGCGCTATCTAAATATTTCAGAAAGCGCCCAAATTTCCCACTCGAGTAGGCATTTCGTACGTCGCTGTGTTAACGTGCATCTCTCACTGCGCAGGTCTGGGGAATCCCGAACACAGCCGTTTTCTAAACTCATGGCATGTTCGTCGATGTCGGCAACGAAGTGCAAATCCCATTCTATTCACTATTGAGAGTCGAGACAAGTGTATTGACGTGTTGTGTACCGAGCCAATTACGATTTCGAATACGAATGTTGCTTGACATTTACCCCTAATTAGTGCCTACGAACTTAGAGACCCTTTAATTTCTGATTATTTCGATTATTTTGCGTGCCTTCACAACCGAAACGAAATGTCTAAGCAACATACAAAATTTCCAGATGCCTCTGGAAAACCAATCAACGATAAATGCGAACTGTATGAGTCTTCCAGAACGGACAGTGGGTTCTTATCTGGAGAAATATCCGAGGAAATAACGGACTCTGGCATCATCGAGGAGAAACCACTAAACACGGACTTTTGCAATCTCGATTCGGGCATTATAGACGAAGAAAAGAAAGTGACAACAGAGCCCATGCTTCTGGACAGTGGCGTGTGTCTTACGGAGAGTTTTTCTAAAATCAGTATCGAGGAATCGGGGCTGAACAACCTTAACAGCCCCAAGAAGGTCGCGGCACCTGTTGAATGCAAGAAAAACGACGAAATTCCTTGGAAAATATACTACGAGCAAGACGAAGAAGGAGATACGTGAGTATTTTTCAATTTATAATTTCAAATGTTCTTATACCTATTGCCTTATTTGTATTGTGTCGTCCTCGTCCCCTCGCCCGTGCCCCCAACCTCATGATGTAAACCATGTATGAAGGTTCAAAGGTTATAATTATTAATAACAATTATTGTTGATAAGTGGTGCGTGCATATATGGTGCAATAGGTATAATACCAACATAGCATCAGTCGAGGCATCAGAGTTTCACTAGCGTCAGTCGTCACTGTTGATGGATCAGCGGTCATCAAGGGGGTCATTGATTCAGATCTTGATTCAGGCAATCAGGCATAGACTACTTACAGCAGATAATTGATTCAGGTTCATATAGGTTTCATACCTACTTCCATAAATGCTTTATAATATGCTTCCGATATCACTTCACTATCTACTTCAAATAGGCACAGCATAGTCCCTTACGGAAAATTGTTGGTATATAGGTAATCTTTGTTGATATCTGTGTATATTTGTATTGAAACCTACTCAAAAAATGGATCAATGACAAGAGATGAATGCTCATGTGTGACGTCAAATGTGAGTGTAAATATGAAATTTTGTATGCCTATAAACTACCTATAAATGGAATGGGGGTACCTATAATCTATAATGTATTGTAGGTATATGATGCAGACATACCTTTTCCTAGGTCGGTAACTCGGTCGGTACTCTCCTAGGTCGGTAACTCGGTCGGTACCTATTCCTACCTACCTGCTAAGAATCAAGATTATTTTAATCTTACAAGTGCCCAAAGACCTAAACTCACATACTTATTCCTAGAATTCTAAACAGAATTTGCTAATTTGTGTTAATTTCGAGGTTAATTTGTATCTTATAACCTAATTCCTCATCTAATTCAAATTGATAAGGCAAAATAATATATGTATAGGTATAGTAACACAAAAAATCTCGAGTCATTACTAGATAGGTAGGTACTTTTTTACGAGCTTTTTTAGTAACTTCAATTTGCATCTAGATAGGTAGATGATTTAGGCTGTGATTTAGGATAGTTCATGAAGGAATGAGGAAACAGATGGTGGTATGCAGTGCCGGATTTAGGGGGGGGCTATGGGACTATCAGCCCCCGGCGGTGAATTTCAAGAGGTGGTAGAGAAAAAGAGAAAAGAGGAAAAGCAAGCAGCAATACAGTCGTTTACTGGTTGAGATACTGATTTTGTGAAAATAATAGCATGCACTAATCTAGCGTCAGCTGTGTCTTGGACGCTACAATACAAAAGCAGCGGCGGCGGTACATATACTTTCATTTGATGATGAGAAGAAAAACCGCATTCTACTCGTCTAACTCAATAACAAAAAACAAAATCAGAGTTCAGTATTTAATAGGTTGGTACTAATAATGAATAAATATTGAAAATTGAATTTAAAAAAATTAGTATAAAAGAAGGTGGTGCATTCTGGAAACGGCAGAAGATCAATGAACAAAAGCAGTTAGACGAAGTTGCCAAGAAATGCCCTAAAATACATTCATTTTTTCTAAATTCAAACAAGACAGAATCAGAACCGTCTCCGGGAACTTCACGATCCCAAGACGGCAATGATAAGTTTTGAATTTTTATTAAATTCAATTCGCGAAAAAGAAGGGATAGAATCTCAAAAAAAGATGATCAAAATATGAACACGACTTAGCGTATAGGGATAATCACAACAACTTCCTAATTCATTGAATATTGGCAATTACTGAGAATTTTTTTACTATCCCTGATGATTAGTAATGCCAGTGGTGGAAGGTCATTCTCAACATTAAAAAGAGTGAAAATCTACCTCAGGAATTCCATGGTAGAGGATATATTGAATATTTTATCAATTTTAAGTATTAACAGTGACATGTTATTAAATCTGAATTTTGATGATGCCATTGACGACTTTGCATCAAAAAAATTAAGAAAAGTATTTTAGTATTCATCTGAAAAAAATATTTGTTGTTTGTTCTTTGTTGTTATGTTCAACGTGTGGAGTAAATATAATTTGATTCCTTGTAAATAATGATTCCATGCTATTGTTATATGCTGTGGAAAAAGCAGTGAAAGGATTATTTGAATTTTGAAACTGACAATTGAAAATTGAATATTTGGCGGCGTCGCGGCGGCATCGTAAAAGTTAGCCCCCTGCGTGAGGGAGTATAAATCCGGCACTGGTGGTATGTATCGTTGTGTCGATCGTATGATGTCATTAATCTATGATATCATTGATCGTTCATTTTTCCGAGATTAAACTGGGTTTACATCACACAACCTGCCATTATACAATTTACGTGATTGTTTAACCCATTATTGCCCGAATTATCTTCATCTCGAATTTCAACAAATTTCAATGAAATTTTGGGTAGAAATTATGTTTTCCAAGACATGATACTCCCACTTTTTTTTTTCTTTTTTTTTCGCATGTTTTTGTTGTGTTCCAATAATGGAACCTTGGGCACGATTATCTCCAGGTAAATAATCGAGAAGTAAATGAAATATTGATCAAGAACATATTTTATATAAAAAATATATGATTGTATTGAACGTTAATACATTGAATGATCAGTCAGAAAATATATTGATCAATACTTTGTGTGAAAATATTCGAAACAGTGTTCATGACAGTTAACTCTACACTTCCTACAGCATTTCGTGGTATTTTTCTTGCAAACTGCACATCTATTCTGCTTTTCTGCTGCAACAAGATAATGTTCCGTTCGATCATATCTCACTTGATTTGGAACACGAGAGAGAATAGCTTTATGTGTAACTGGACGACCTCCACCAATACCAGGTTTTCCATATTTCTGTAGGTAAGTCTGAACGATTGTACGTCGAAACTTCAGTTGATCCATTTTCTTGCCGTTAACTTTTCTGTATAATTGCCAAGCATTCTGGATACTAACATCCACACAATAAGCAAATATAGACCACCACCACTTTTTTGATCTTATCGATATCCTGTAATTTTCTACATTCTGATCCAATCTATCTACACCTCCCATATACCTATTATATTGAGACACAACAAATGGTCGAGTAACTGGAACCTTCTTCTTTTCAGAAGCTATCCATCTGTCTACATGACCTTCAGGGCCAGTTGAATCGCATGTACTAACAGTCAATACGATTCTATTGTCGTGCCAACTTGTAATGGTGACATTATTCCTCACATCAGTGCAAAAATCATAATATCCTCTGGGCTGCTTTTCTACATGTCCTGATGTTGCTATTGCAGAACATTTCTCGATTCGATTATATTTTATCGTACCAGTGTATCCGATACCTTGTTCTTGTAAGCGATTGATCAATTTCAGTGATGAGAAAAAGCGATCACCATAAATCTTGAATGGTACATCCTTTGGCAAAACTTTCAATAGGTCAACTACAACCATTCCACCAACTCCTAATTCATTTTTCCTAGGCATCTGCTGTCTTTTCCTCTTCTTCACACTATTTTGGGAAGATCCTGCAACCGTATCAGGGTTGGCACCTGTGATAGCTTTTTTCAGTTTTCCTTGATAAGGTTCAAATTTCATGAGATAACCAAGTGGTTCACACAGGCACCACATTTTATAACCATATCTTATTGGTTTACCTTTCAGGAACTGTTTAGCACCATGTCTTCCGAAATATGGCACCATACTTTCGTCAATGCTCAACTTCTCCAGTAGTTCTGAATGTTCGATGAACCTTTCATTCAGCATATCAATAAGAGGCCTCATTTTTCCAAATTGGACCCCGCACTTTTAGTACGTAAAATGGTTCTCGGTGAAATTTTCTGAATTTTCAGTATGTTGTAGAATTCGATGAACTGATTGAACCTGCAGAATCGTAAAGTTCTTTGATGAACAGATTCTGAGATACAGGGCGTTGAAGTTACAAATCGGTATTATTCATTTAATTATTTTCTCGAAATTCAAAGATGCCAAGTACAATTTTTTTCGCTCATATCATCAACAAACCTCCATATTACTCAACATAATTCAGATGGTTCAGATAATGTAATTGTTTACAGAGTGAAACATATAAACATTTCAGTGATGTCTGAAAATTCGATGTAATAATGAAATATCGAAAAAATAATTCAGGCATGCAATATACTATTCTCATTCCATCATGAATCACAATTCATACATTTCATACAGGGTGATTTGAAAAATTGGTGACACCTAAGACCTATTTATTCATACACATCCTGTATATTCGAGTGAATTGTTAACCTCCCAAGATAGCTGATACCGTATGAACATGATTTCGTTGAGATATATAGGGTGATCATGAAGATTTTCGATGATGAAAATGACATAAAATCGTGTTTTTTGAAATCACCCTGTTATTCATGATTAACTCGGTGAAATTCCCTAATTATTTCTTAATATATGCATCATTCGCTTCTCCACGCTGTCTTGAAAATTCAGTTTCCTATCATCACGGGTGTCATAGTTATTAATTCAGGAACTTACCATTTGCATGAAGAGTTGAAGAGACTTGTTCAGTTATATCCGCATAGTGGCCGATATTTTTCACAAATAGTGAAACGTGAGAATGTGGAGACGAAAATAAGTTTAGTATTCATATACAGGGTGAACATTAGAAATTCAATAACAATAGCAGATATATGAATTTAATAATATTAATGTAATGTACAGATAGTTAGGCGCATTTCGTTGGTATACAAGCTCTGCCAAAATGAAAAACGAACAATACCTAGGAGATGGGAAAATGATTCCAGGATTCAACTCTCCCTATTATTAATGGAAGCGTGAAAGACCGAATCATTCTCCCATCTCCTATAGGTATTGTTCGTTTTTCATTTTGGCAGAGCTTGTATACCAACGAAATTCGCCTAACTATCTCTACATTATATTAATATTTTTAAATTCATATATCTTCTATTGTTATTGAATTCCTAATGTTCACCCTGTATATGAATACTAAACTTATTTTTGTCTCCACATTCTCACGTTTCACTATTTGTGAAAAATATCGGCCACTATGCGA